AAAAAAAAAAAAAAAAAAAAAAAAAAAAAAAAAAAAGTCAATGATATCGTCCGAGAACGCCCACTCTGGTTTCGGCCTAGCTAAGCCTAGCTTTGTCCTGTGAAGTATGCGTGTTTTGCAGGTTTGCATGTTTGCTTGTGGGGCCCACGTTCCCAGTCGCTTGTCGTTGGCTCAGGTACTCGCCTATTCTCGCCTAGCGCCGTCTTGGCTCTGCATTCTGGAATGACAAGCCTCTGCGTATTATGTTGATATGTATAATTTTGTTTTCTGGTTAACTTTTGCCGTCTACGTAGGACTTGCATAGACACGGAGACGGCGCATTCAAGTGTCGCACAGCATTGCCATTTCATCCCATTTCGACCTCTGCCGTCTCGCATGATGCCCCGTGGCTGGGACGCGTGTGTGCATCGCATCCATGACGCGGCCACTTGCGATAGCCCAGCCATTGATGTCACGTGGGCTATTACCAGGCCGAGCTTTATCAGTAAATACGTATTAATTATTATCGATAATGATTTTAATGCAGATAGACTCGATGGTAATAGTAGTACTATCGAAATGCTTATTTGCGATAATATATTTGAATATATCCTTCTTGGTCTTAGCCTCGTCCTGGCTAGTGTAGGTGGGAAAAAAATTATTAATAAAAAGAAAAATAGACCGCAAAAACACAACCAATATGATAATTAATTTTACAAAGTCCAGATCACATGGTAACGCGGCAATAAAATGACCAATCATATTTACCATCTTTCCGTCTTAAGAAAGATGAATGTTGAAGAAGCAAGCCACGGTCAATGACCAAAATGGCACCCCATACATATTCATTCATTGCCAGTGAAAAAATACCCTATTAGATTTAGATTTTTAATTGGTCGGGAAAACAAATCCAGCATGTATCAGCATAAAGAGTAGTAAACTCTCCTTGATCGTCTGCTTCATTTCCTTTTCAAAAGCCGGTTGGTCCCCGTGCTGCCATTATCCATATCCAAGGTGTGTGTAGTTAACTTGGAGGGAAGATATCTTTGGTAAAAACCATTTTTTAGTGGCTGCGAACAAGACACATATATTGAGTTGTCCTGATATATCACACTTACCAGGGGCAATCGCATGGATTCGGATGGTCGTATTCTCCATCCCCGTCAAATTTATTGACGGCAGTTTTACTGCACTGTTTCACGTTGATACTGCAAAAAATTTATGTTCCATATCACATGTCGATTTTCTTCCGGGACTTGGTTTCAACTTACGTTGTACGAGTACTGCCCGTTCTGCGACTTAAGAACCAAAATTCGAGTTAGTACATGGTAACCTATCTGAATAACGTATCATCTTACCATTTGGTTATACCGCTAATCGATGGGATGTTAGCAACATTTCCAGAAAACCAGGGCACGCTCGATTCTGCCTGCGCGAGAAGCGGGCAAAAGGTCAATGTGACAAAGCATATCGACGTACAATTTGTCAAATACTCTGTGACACAGAGGAAGTGATATTAGTCTGTCGTACCTTGCATTCTTAATTTCAGAAACAGTCTTACATGCACTCCAATCATCTTCAATCCTCATTCCACATGGCGTCGCCATAAGTATCCGCGCAGTCGGCTACCTTTGCCTGCGCTCTTCCTGTTCCAATACCAGCCGAGTTGACGATCAACCCCGCAAGGGATTGGGATTATACTTAGGATTTCGTGACTCATGACGTAACTCCCTCGTGAGTATAGTTGTGGATATCGGAGAAATTCTTTTACTTTACTTGAAGAGCCCGTAGTAGTATTCTACTATGACTCTTCGTCACTATCAGTATCGATCCATAACTACTTCCGAGTCTTATATAGAAATACGTATTGATTTTGATCCACTGATTTTCCATAATCTAGACTTTCAAGAAATTTAGTTGTTAGTCCATTGCATGAATAGCCTGGTAATAATAAGATATCAATCTAGATTATAGGCATATCTACACAAACTTTCTATTCTGCTACCAGTCATTGCCTTCCTTTAATTGAGAGAGAAGAGCCGTATTCCCCAGCATGTCATTTGGATCAATTATTTAACAAAACTATATAATAGTGAATCGGCGATGTCAAGGATAACAGGGTAATACTCATCCGAGCGGGCCATCGGCCCGCTCAACCGTCAAGCACCATAAATGGTCATACCACGTGGAGAATTCTTGAGTAGATAAACATAGAATATACACCTTACGAAAGTAGACTTGAACCAAGCGTTACATCAAGTCTTCCACATAGGAGCTTGTGGTCCATGACTACAGCCTATCTCCTTCATATCCGTAGATAGTTTTTAAACCACCAACAGCTACAAAACTACTTAGCAACTTGAGAGATACATCGTATTCTGAAAGGTTGAAAGAACTATATTTTCTGCAAATAACGCCTTTAAGACTCTCCAAGATGCCACCACCCACTACCGACGAATTCGCCAGCTGAATAATCATTCCAAGTTGGCAAGTATTGGAGCTACCGGTCTAGAGTAGCCGCATCGTAGAGACCTGCGATGTACCCAATTCAATTTTTAATCGCATTTTTATTTTATCATACATACTGGCCTCATTACCATGTCTTAATAATTGCTGCCTCAGGCATTAAATTCACGGAAGATATCCGAAAGAAGCTAGATTACTTCAGGTCACGGGATCTCGCGTGCAAGCCGCAAGAGCAAGACGCGATTGCCGAGGCCCTGTATAGGCAACAGTGGAGCATCGCGCGACGACTTGTGTTTCTCTTCACGGCTGGACTCGGCCAATCAAACACTAATATTGTGACTTTTCAAGTGTTGGTATAATCCTAACCCCCATTAGCATCAGACGAGCTGGCTCTCCTCAAGACAATCAACAGGAGGATCCCTTTTACTGTGACCATGGCGCCCCGCCGCTCGACTCGCATACGCGAGCAGGCACCCGACCTGCCGAAATCGGCAACCAGCTTGGCTCAAGTGGGCAGAAGCAAGGGCAAGAAACAGGGCAACCCTAATGGGATCGTAAAGAAGGCAAAACCCCCTACTACAAAGCCCAAGTCCAGTATAAACACCCAGGCAACCCAGGATTTTGCAGTTCCCACGACTCCAAAGAAGGAGAAGAAGAAGCAAGATTCCACAGAAGATGGGGTGTCGATTTGGAGAGATATCCCAAGGCTAACACCGCCGCCGCCACCTCGACTCGATCGCCCAGTCGATCCTCATAGGACCAATGCGACGCTCATGACCCCAAGAGGAAGCTCGGTGGTTGCATATCCTTCTGTCGAGGACGCCTCCCCAAGCAAGACTGGTTTGCCACGACCTACCGCGACGACGGGCAATCTGCTCGAGAAAGCTCTCGAACATCTAATTGTCACAGACCCACGCCTGAAGCCGGTTATCGAGAAGCACCATTGCCGTATATTCTCGCCCGAGGGGCTAGCTGAGCAGGTCGATCCGTTTGAGAGTCTGGCGAGCAGCGTGATCGGCCAGCAGGTCTCTGGTGCAGCTGCGCAGTCAATTAAGAACAAATTCTTGGATCTTTTCGACAACACCGCAGCCAGAGATGGTCAGAGAAGACGCTTTCCGACCCCGGCAGAGGTCATACAGCACGATCTGCCCACGCTGCGGACGGCCGGGCTATCCCAGCGCAAAGCAGAGTATATCCACGGCCTCGCGGAAAAGTTTGCCAGCGGTGAGCTGTCAACAGAGAAGCTACTCAAGGCGACTGACGACGAGGTCATGGAGATGCTCATTGCTGTGCGGGGGCTGGGACGGTGGTCGGTTGAAATGTTTTCGTGCTTTGCTCTGAAGAGAACCGATGTATTTTCAACAGGGGATCTTGGGGTGCAGTGAGTTTATCGTTCCTTTCATTTTAATACGCCGATTAAAGCATGAAGACTGACTTCGTCTGTGCTACAGACGTGGATGTGCAGCTTTTGTAGGAAGGGACATCAACAAGCTCAAGAACAACGGGAAGGGGAAATTCAAATACATGGCCGAAAACGAAATGTTAGAGTTGGCCGAAAAGTTTCGGCCCTATAGGTATGTATAAAAAAAAAAGGAACGAACGAACAAACGAAAAAACTCATGGCTAATTCCTTTTAGGACTATTTTCATGTGGTATATGTGGAGGGTGGAGGACGTAGATATTGCTGTATTGAATTAACCGTAATAATAGTTACACAAAAGGAGAAAGTCACATACGAAGAAATTACAAAAAAAATTATTAAAAAGAAGTTATCATCTCCGCTCAACTGGAATCGAACCAGCCACCTTCCGATGATTTGAATTGTTCCATTACAGTCGGATGTCATAAACCTGCTAGACCATGAGCGGGGGAGAAATGATGATAATCCGCTCAACTGGAATCGAACCAGCCACCTTCCGATGAATTGTTTCCATTACAGTCGGACGTCATAATCCTGCTAGACCATGAGCGGTTATTATACTGTGCATAACTTTTTATCGATTGAAATAGTCCCCGGTGGGAACACAAAAATGGCATTTTATGACCCTTATTCAACGAATTTATGCAATATATGCAGATTTAAACTTTCTAACCGCGTTTATTCATGCGACTAGCGATTCATAACTCCCCAACAACGAATCAGTCGCTTGTTAATTCGGTTTTCTCAATTCTACACATACAATCTCTCGACATTTTTGGCACCTCAGGAAGACAAAAAATGGGACTAGAATAGTAATACGAGAGCAGAGGGAAAAGGGTGAGCGTAAGCTGACATGCATATTTTTACTGTGGGTAGTAAGCTTACAACCCGACCGAATATCACGTGATCCGGTCAGTGGGTTATTAATTCGTTATGTGTGATTGGCATCACGCAACCGCAGTGGTAATGAAGCTAGAAACTATTAATATTATCGTTTTGGGGTGCTGTTGCTTGATCATTGTTTTTGTCAACTGTTAATTTTCAGTTCGCATTAGGGCGATCAATTGGTCAATTGATGTCAATGGTTTCAAATGTTGTTCATGTTAACCGAGGACGCTACATAACCACGTGCGAACCTATGCTTCGTCAGTTTGCCGCTGTAGAAAAACAGTGAGGTTGAACTTCGCGTTTGATTTAGGTAGATAAACATAGAATTCGTGACATTCGTCTCTGTTTTCTATGTCAATTGATCAATATTGAATTGATGGTGGTGTTTATTCATGAAACACCGTAGGACGATTATATATATATATATATATTCACTGGTCCCATCAACTGAACATTGAAGGTCTGAAACACTCAAGTTAGATAATGCAACCCACCTAAAACGTATAGACCAATCGACGAACCCCAATCGATAGCTACGAAATCGGGAGCAAAACTAAAAGCATGTGAAAACTACATGCCTGCGTACTGTCATTGTGCAGCCCGCCGATGCTACAAATGATAGTAGATGCTGGGATTGTGGAACATTATTTTAGCGGGTTCATAAGCATATTAGTACCGGTCAAAATTACCTGTATCAGGTAGCCATAGCCAATTCTCACACGCTGCGTTATCAGTTCATGGTCTACGATATACCGCCGCCCCATGGAAAGAATTGACAAGTAGTTGTATCAACTAGCATGGGGTGATAGCATCCAAACCAAACGGTGTGGTATTGTGAAATACACACACTGATTTTTACTAGTGGTGACTTGAGGTAATGGCAATTACTTCGTGGGAAACCCATGCGACATGTGAAGCGCAAGATGGACCGTAAAAACATCGGTCAGCAACCACACCAAGTTGCGAGACAAAGGAAAAGAGGATTGATTTGTTTGTACAGTACGAGTACAGAAGGTTTTTGGCCTTGCACCATCCAGGCCAAGCCAGCCACTAGCAGAAATCTCCAGTCTATAAAAAATAACTTCCTCTCAAATCAGAATACATGTAGCGTAAATCTGTTTACTTTCGCTTGACAACCAAAGTGTCCAGGTCCTCGCGTTCTTGGGCCTCCTGTTGCAATTCACGAATGATTGGGCTAAGGTATTCGCGGTCCTGGAGAGAGTTATGTTAGCTGCTGCGTTTTGTAGATTGACGAACGACCCTCTCCCCCAGTTCGAACATAGGGAAATGCGGGATGCAAAACAAAGGCAAAAATGTAACATACCTCCTCAGGCTTGGTTTGCTCCTCGGCAGGAAGAAGAGTGTGAGAGATGGAGCACTGCGAGCATTCAAGTGTCAGTCCACCAATCTAACTGTTTCCCCAGACCAAAGCATCTTACCTGGAAAGCACGGCGAAGACGGAAGACACGGTCGTAGGCCTCCTTGGGAGGTAGACGGCGGAGGGCCGTTTGGACGAGTTCGCTCTCTTCGGGGATCAGGTCATCGGCTCTGCATGGGGTTGTCAGTCATGAATTTTTGCTCCATGGCACACAGTTCGGAGCAGCTTCAGCCAACGGGATCGCGCTTCCCAAGAGACTGAGGCCAGACAAGAAAAACATCCACTTTACAATGGAGCTATCGACAGCAGGGGGGAATAGGAAAACCCACCTCAATCCCAGGCGGCGGTAGCCAGCGGCGTTGGTGTACCATTCAGCAATGGGCTGCATCCAGCGCCTCAAGAAGGGTCGCTTCACGACATAGTTGGTGAATGAAGGGACAGACATGTTGGAGAAGCCCGATGAGCGTTGTTTCAGGCCAATTGGGAGCCGGTGGGTGAGGGACAGACAGAGAGCAGCACACGCAGAAGCCGGGAGCTCACACGGATTGTCGTTGTCTCGACGTTGCACGACTACGCTAGTGCGGAAAAGAAGAAATTGCGGCCTGAGGCAGCGAGTCGTGCTGGCTGCTGCCGAAGCGACCCGATGTCCGCGCTAGTAATTTTACGGCTTACGCAAAACGGAAGGTAATATTACAATCTTTACAGCACGCCGTAATCGTACGACCGTTTGGCCGCTTGCCCGCTTCGCCCGCCGTAATCCCTGTACGGATACTGTATTTAATACTTCGGCGCATCCCTTGGCCGCTGCAAAAGAACGACCGCAGTCTTCATGCTTCAGGTCACGATACGCCCCGGCAATTATAACAACATCAACAGCAGCAGTAGCAGCAATAATCTCCATCCAGGCTGGCAAACCCCGCTGGTGCAGAGACTAATTTGGTATTAGAGAAAGCCCACTCTGCTGCGGGCGTCATTGGTCAGCAGGCGCCCATATCGGCCCTAGTCAACAACTCCGAATTCCCCAAAGGACCAGCGACTCAGTCCACGAGACCGGCTACTCTTCTCGCCTTTCCACCGCTTCTATCCGGCCGAACCTCTCTTCTTGTGTGCTCCCCCTCCAACCGTGACATGCAAGTAGCCCTACTGTCGCCTGCAGGCTAGCGACGTGAAGGAAGACCCCGCACGACCCCAAATTCGTATCTTGCGACCCCCGTTGAGCGGGATCTGACAGGGCCCATTTTTCCTCCTCCCATCCCAGCAACACCATCTCGACTTGCAGCCACCGCCTGGAATCAATTAATACCCGCATAACATCGCTGACCGGCATCAAGAGAACACCGTGCACATCGATATCGAGAAAGGGGAAAATACCGGGGGTCTGGGTTCCGGGTTCGAGCGTCCGATATGCTCGAATCCGTGAACAGCCGGTGACCAACACGGACAATCCGCCAGCCTGGTACGATGTCGTCCGACGACAGCATATCAAGGCCGGCTGCTGGCCCTGAGCCTCAGCACCAGCACCAGCACTTGGGCAGCCCGCCTGCGAGCGGGCTGCTCACGCGCGTGGAAATCTTCACCACCCAACTTCCAGACTACTATGTTACACCCTTCTGTGGCGCCATGGCTGGTGTGGCCTCGGGCATTGTGACATGTCCTCTCGATGTTATCAAGACCAAACTGCAGGCCCAGGGCGGCTTTGCGCGACGCCGCGCGCCTAATCAGACTTCACAAATGTATCGAGGAATGATCGGTACGGGAACGACGATTTGGAGGAATGAAGGCATTCGAGGCTTGTATCAGGGATTGGGACCAATGCTACTTGGTTATCTACCGACATGGGCAGTTTATTTGACCGTGTACGACCAGTCAAGGGCTTTCTATGGACAGAAAACAGGTTTGTCACCAAAACAAAACACGGCCCTCCAGACTCTGGTATACTGACTGCATTGCAGACAATTGGTGGCTCTCACGTACATATGCTTCTGTCACTGCCGGCGCATGTTCAACGATAGTGACGAACCCAATATGGGTCATCAAGACACGGCTTATGTCACAGAGTGCTAGACTGAGCGCAGATGGTCATACTCCATGGCACTACCGAAATTCCCTTGACGCAGCTCGGAAAATGTACATGACAGAAGGCATCCGGGCCTTTTACTCTGGTCTTACACCGGCATTACTGGGTTTGACTCATGTGGCCATTCAATTTCCACTTTATGAGTATTTCAAGATGGCATTTACGGGATATGGCATTGGAGAACACCCTGGCGAAGGTGACTCACACTGGGTAGGAATATCGTTGGCTACATTCCTCAGCAAGATCTGCGCCAGTACTGCTACGTACCCACACGAGGTCCTCCGTACACGACTCCAGACCCAACAGCGACACCCACCTGCCTCGTCACCTGAGGAAATCTCTTTCCGTGGAGGACTCGAACACCCAGCTGACCGGGGTCGACCACCTGGTGCATCTTCTTCCGATGGTATGCCAAACCGACCTCGCTATGCTGGCGTCTGGCGCACTTGTCAGACAATCCTTCGTGAAGAAGGATGGCGGGCATTTTATTCAGGAATTGGAACAAATCTGATCCGAGCCGTGCCTGCGGCCATGACCACCATGTTGACATATGAATACCTACGCAAAACAATCACCACACTCCAGCATGAAGGAGAGAAACAAGTTCCAGATGATCCTATTGTTTAGTTCTTGAGATTTTTTTCCCCACAAATTTTTGCACTGGGAAGATATATAAAACCTGCGGTAATTGTGTCTATCCTACGTTGAACAAGTTTGTGGCAAATGTGAGCATTCAGTCCTATTACAACGTTGTTGAATCCTAGAAGGTCGGTGCGGAGTTGTGCATGCGTTTTTTTGTCTCTCTCATGTTTTTTTTATTTATTACTCTCTCCTTTCCCCTTGAAACATGTAGATTATCGAGTTTTATTATTTTCATCTTTCCTTTTTTCGTGCATTTCCAAAGCATGACGACGCGTACATACAAACAGTTACCCCCAAGTGTTTTGCCAGGTTTTTGCTATCGATGAAAGATTTTGTTCTTGGTCTGCGTTCTAATTTTGGCTTTTATAAAATCGTACATAGACACTACCTATCATTAATAATAGGTCTGATATCAAGTAAAAGTTTGATTGAATGCATACAAAGACTAGACCAGGTAGACGCCCCCTTTTTTTCTCCCCCTTTCCCAACACTATCAATTGATAATAACGAAACACCCTTAATTACAATGAGCCCAAACCCTAACAATTCTTCCTCTTATTCTACTTC